CCCTTCACTTCACACCCCACTCCCGTGATCCCCCGTTCACGTTCCCCCACTCGTGACACCCCAATCAGGCTGCACAGCACCAACCCTGGTGAGTGACACCCCCACTCGAGACCCCCCTGCACTCGTGACCTCCCACTCCCCCTGCTCGGCACCGACCCCGATCCCCTGCCCTGGTGTTGCCGCCCCACTCGTGACGACCCCCTTGCTCGTGTCCCCCCCCCACTCGTGTCCCCCAGGGCGTGGAGCTGAGCTCGCTGCGGGGGCTCAACTTCACCATGATGGAGACGGACTGTGCCGCCAGCGCCCGCCCCGACCCCAACGACTGCGACTTCAAGGAGAACGGGGTGAGGAGGGGCAGGGGGAGGAAAGGGGGGGGGACATGGGGGGGTCCCAGTAACCCCCCCGGTGACTCCGGGTGTCCCCGTGTCCCCCCCAAGGCCATCAAGGAGTGCTCGGGGCCGGTGCAGCTCCTGCAGAGCTCCCCCGAGTTCGACCTGCGCTGCTTCGACGTCTCCTCCGACGTGAGTGGGGGGATCGGGGGGCACCCGTGGGGTGCTGGTGCCTGTCCCCCTGCCCCACATCCCCCCCAAAAGGGACCCCACGATGGTGGTGGAGGGTGGGGTGGGGGTCCTGGGGAGCCAGCGGGTTCTGGGTGGGGTGTCCCAGGGGTTGGATCCTGGGAGGGGGTCCTGGATGTGGGGTCCTGGGTGGGATCCGGGGTGGGATCCTGGATGTGGGTCCTGGATGTGGGGTCCTGGATGTGGGGTCTGGGGTGGGATCCTGGATGTGGGTCCTGGATGTAGGGTCCTGGATGTGGGATCCGGGGTGGGATCCGGGATGTGGGTCCTTGATGTGGGTCCTGGGTGGGGTCCTGGCTGCAGCGACCTGGGTGCAGGGTCCTGGATGTGGAGGGTCTCAGGTGTGGAGTCCCAGGTGTCGGATCCTGGGTGTGGGATCCCGAGTGGGGACCCCAAGTGTTGGATTCTGGATATGGGATCCCGGGTGTCCCAGGTGTGGGTTTCTGGGTGCAGGGACATTGGTGGCGTTTCAGGTGTGGGGTTCTGGAGTCCCTGGGGAGGGGAACACGAGTGGGGTGCAGGGACCTGGGTGTGGGGTCCTTGATGTGGGTCCTGGGTGTGGGGCCCTTGATGTGGGTCCTGGATGGGGTCCTGGGTGTGGAGTCCTTGATGTGGGGTCCTGGGTGGGGTCCTGGGTGTGGGGTCCTTGATGTGGGG